TTTGAACCACCAGCCTTTTGGTTAGCAGTCAAGTGCCTTAGGCACTATGCTACCAGAGGTCCTATAAATCTAGGAAAACTGGAAACTGTCAAAAATGGAGCAGAAAGCTTGAAGAGCAATATCCTGGGCATTATTGTGCTGCTGTTAGGTGTGGTTGAGTAAGCTCCAAGTCATACTGATCCTTTGTACAACAGAATGAAACACTGCACAGATGTATGTCATCCTCACAATCCTTGTTACACCTGAGCCCATAGTTGCAGCCACTGTGTTAGTCCATCTTGTTGAGGGTCTTCCCCTTTCTTGCTGACCCTCCACTTTACCAAACATGACATTGGTCTCCAGGGAATGGTCCCTTCTGACAACATAACCAAAGCAGGTGAGACAAAATCTGACCGTTCTCACTTCCAAGAACCATTCTGGATACCCTTCCTCCAAGACAGATTTGTTCATTCTTCTGGCAGTCCATGGGACTTCCAGTATTCTTCTCCAACACCACAACTCAAATGCATTAACTCTTCTTTGTTCTTCCTTATTCACTGTCCAGCTTTCACATGCATATGAGGCAATTGAAAATACCATGGCTTGGGTTAGGCACACATTACTCTTCAAAGAGACATCTTTGCTCTTCAGCTCTTTAATGATGTCTTTTGCAGCAGATTTGCACAGTGAAATATGACATCTGATTTCTTGACTGCTGCTTCCATTGATATTGATAGTAGATCCAAGTAGTATGAAATCTTTGACAACTACAATCTTTTCTCCATTTATTGTTATGTTTCTTATTGGTCCAGTTGTGAGGATTTTCGTTTTCTCGATGTTGAGGTATAATCCATACTGTACACCGTGTCTTTGATCTTCATCAGTAAGTGCTTCAAGTCATCTTCACTTTCAGCAAGCAAGGTTGTGTCAACTGCATATTGCAGGTTCCTAATAATTCTTCCTCCAATCCTGGTGAAGGATTCTTCTTTATATAGTCCAGCTTCTCAGATTATTTGGATCCATCTGACATCAGCAAAGATATCCCTCATCCCATGTCCTCTTCTGAATCCAGCTTGCATTTCTGAAATTCCCTATCAATATATTGCTACAACCTTTTTTGAATAATCTTCAGCAAAATCTTACTTACATGTGATATAAATGATATTGTTTGATAATTTCCATGTTCTGTGGGATCACCTTTCTTTGGAATGCGTACAAATATGGATCTCTTCCATTCAATTGGCCCTATAGCTGTTTTCCACATTTCTTGGCTTAGATGAGTAAGTGCCTCCAGCGCAACATCCGTTTGTTGAAACATCTCAGGGGGTATTCCATCAATTCCTGAAGCCTTGTTTTTTGCCATTTTTTTCAATGCAGCTTCAACTTCTTCCTTCAATACCTTTGGTTCTTGATCACATGCCACCTCCTGAAATGGATGAACATTGACCAATTCTTTTTGGTACAGTGACTCTGTATTCCTTCCATTTTCTTTTGATGTTTCCTGCATCATTCAATATATTCCCCATAGAACCTTTCCATATTGCAACTTGAGACTAGAATTTTTCCTTTTGTTTTTTTCAGCTTGAGAAATACCAAGCATATTCTTCCCTTTTGATTTTCTAACTCCTGGTCTTCACACATTTCATTATAATAATTGACTCTGTCTTCTTGAGCTGCCCTTTGAAATTTTCTGTTCAGCTATTTTATCTTGTCATTTCTTCCATTTTCTTAAGTTACTCTCCATTCAAGAGCAAGTTTCAGAGTCTCTTCTGACATCCATTTTGATCTTTTCTTCCTTTCCTGTCTTTTCATGATCTTTTGCTTTCTTCATGTATGACATTCTTTATGTCATTCCACAACTCGTCTGGTTTTCGGTCATTGGTGTTCAGTGCATCTAATCTTTTCCTCAGATGGTCTCTAAATTCAGAAGGGATATAATCAAGGTCATATTTTGTCTCTTGTGTACTGTTTTAATTTTATTCATCTTCAGCTTGAACTTGTATAAGAGCAATTGATGGTCTGTCCAACAGTTAGCTCCCAGCCTTGTTTTAGCTGAAGATGTTGATCTTCTCCATCATCTCTTTCCACAGATGTGGTTGATTTTATTCCTGTGTATTCCATCTGCCCACATCCATGTGTATAGCCACCATTTATGTTGTTGAAAAAAGGTATTTGCAATGAATAAGTCATTGGTCTTGCAAAATTCTGTCACATGATCTCTGGTGTCATTTCTGTCCCCAAGACCATATTTTCCAACTATCAGTGATTCTTCTTTGCTTCCAACTTTTGCATTCCAATTACTAGTAATAATCAATACATCTTGATTGCATGTTTGGTCAATTTCAGACCCCAAAAAATACAAGTTCAATTTCCTTGTATTTGGCTTCGGTGGTTGGTGCGAAAATTTAAATAATAGTAGTATTAAACTAGTCTTCCTTGTCGGTGTATGGGCATTATCCTGTGACTGACAGTACTGTACTTCAGGATAGATCTTGAAACATTCTTTGTGATGATGAATGCAACACCATTCCTCTTCAGTTTGTTATTCCCAGTGTGGTAGTTAAGTTGTGTATCAACTTGGCTGGGCCTCGGTTTGAGTGGTTAGGCAGTATTCCCCATGATAAGACTGGTAATCAATTCAATGGTGAAATCTACTGGAGCAGCTAAGTAGCTACTTAGGGATGTGGTCTGCTTCCAGTATATAAGAAGAAGCTTTGAGAAAGTTCTCTGCAGCTTTTTGACATGCTTAGACCCTCCAGGTAGCTGAGTCTTCATTCAGCAACCTGCCAGGTTTCCTGCCAATCTTAGAACTGTCTCTGGACTTGAACTAAGAGCTTGCCATGTTGTTTGGTCATCTTGGGACTGAGCCATTTTATTTGTCAGCCTCAGCAACCAGCAGCTACCTGAGTTAAAAGAAGCCTCCACGGGATATGTAGGGGATCCTGGATAGAGTGGGAGAACAATGTGGAACAATACTTAAAATTATTTGGAAAAAAAAAAAAAAAAAAGGACCAGGTTTGCTGGTCTGATAAAGACTGGTGGAACCACTGAGACTATGGCCCACAAGTGCCCTTCAGGTCCAGAATTAAACCCACACCTGTGGCTTCTAGCCAAACAAAAGACAGGCATATGAGGTGAAATTTACCTGAGGTAGATACACTCCTAGGAGAGAACAATCATGGGAGAATAGAAGGACTGTGTATGCACAGGGACATAGCTCAGTGGGCAAGAGTGCATGGAGCAAAGGACACAAGGAGGAGGTAACTATGGGGAAGAAGTGGGATGAGAGCTGTTGCATTGTGGTAAATTGTAATCAATGTCATGAGACAAAGTGTATGTGAACTGCTGTATGGAAAGTGAATTT